TGTACTATAGTTGTGTCACTAGCAGAAGCTTCTGTACTATAGTTGTGTCACTAGCAGAAGCTTCTGTACTATAGTTGTGTCAATAGCAGAAGCTTCTGTACTATAGTTGTGTCACTAGCAGAAGCTTCTGTACTATAGTTGTGTCACTATCAGAAGCTTCTGTACTATAGTTGTGTCGCTAGCAGAAGCTTCTGTACTGTAGTTGTGTCACTAGCAGAAGCTTCTGTACTATAGTTGTGTCAATAGCAGAAGCTTCTGTACTATAGTTGTGTCAATAGCAGAAGCTTCTGTACTATAGTTGTGTCACTAGCTGAAGCTTCTGTACTATAGTTGTGTCACTAGCAGAAGCTTCTGTACTATAGTTGTGTCAATAGCAGAAGCTTCTGTACTATAGTTGTGTCACTAGCAGAAGCTTCTGTACTATAGTTGTGTCACTAGCAGAAGCTTCTGTACTATAGTTGTGTCAATAGCAGAAGCTTCTGTACTATAGTTGTGTCACTAGCAGAAGCTTCTGTACTATAGTTGTGTCACTAGCAGAAGCCTCTGTACTATAGTTGTATCAATAGCAGAAGCTTCTGTACTATAGTTGTGTCAATAGCAGAAGCTTCTGTACTATAGTTGTGTCAATAGCAGAAGCTTCTGTACTATAGTTGTGTCACTAGCAGAAGCTTCTGTACTATAGTTGTGTCACTAGCAGAAGCTTCTGTACCATAGTTGTGTCACTAGCAGAAGCTTCTGTACTATAGTTGTGTCAATAGCAGAAGCTTCTGTACTATAGTTGTGTCACTAGCAGAAGCTTCTGTACTATAGTTGTGTCACTAGCAGAAGCCTCTGTACTATAGTTGTGTCAATAGCAGAAGCTTCTGTACTATAGTTGTGTCACTAGCAGAAGCTTCTGTACTATAGTTGTGTCAATAGCAGAAGCTTCTGTACTATAGTTGTGTCAATAGCAGAAGCTTCTGTACTATAGTTCTGTCAATAGCAGAAGCTTCTGTACTATAGTTGTTTCACTAGCAGAAGCTTCTGTACTATAGTTGTGTCACTAGCAGAAGCTTCTGTACTAGAGTTGTGTCAATAGCAGAAGCTTCTGTACTATAGTTGTGTCACTAGCAGAAGCTTCTGTACTATAGTTGTGTCACTAGCAGAAGCCTCTGTACTATAGTTGTGTCACTAGCAGAAGCTTCTGTACTGTAGTTGTGTCACTAGCAGAAGCTTCTGTACTATAGTTGTGTCAATAGCAGAAGCTTCTGTACTATAGTTGTGTCACTAGCAGAAGCTTCTGTACTATAGTTGTGTCACTAGCAGAAGCTTCTGTACTATAGTTGTGTCAATAGCAGAAGCTTCTGTACTATAGTTGTGTCACTAGCAGAAGCTTCTGTACTATAGTTGTGTCACTAGCAGAAGCTTCTGTACTATAGTTGTGTCAATAGCAGAAGCTTCTGTACTATAGTTGTGTCACTAGCAGAAGCTTTTGTACTATAGTTGTGTCACTAGCAGAAGCCTCTGTACTATAGTTGTATCAATAGCAGAAGCTTCTGTACTATAGTTGTGTCAATAGCAGAAGCTTCTGTACTATAGTTGTGTCAATAGCAGAAGCTTCTGTACTAGAGTTGTGTCACTAGCAGAAGCTTCTGTACTATAGTTGTGTCAATAGCAGAAGCTTATGTACTATAGTTGTGTCACTAGCAGAAGCTTCTGTACTATAGTTGTGTCACTAGCAGAAGCTTCTGTACTATAGTTGTGTCAATAGCAGAAGCTTCTGTACTATAGTTGTGTCACTAGCAGAAGCTTCTGTACTATAGTTGTGTCACTATCAGAAGCTTCTGTACTATAGTTGTGTCGCTAGCAGAAGCTTCTGTACTGTAGTTGTGTCACTAGCAGAAGCTTCTGTACTATAGTTGTGTCAATAGCAGAAGCTTCTGTACTATAGTTGTGTCAATAGCAGAAGCTTCTGTACTATAGTTGTGTCACTAGCAGAAGCTTCTGTACTATAGTTGTGTCACTAGCAGAAGCTTCTGTACTATAGTTGTGTCAATAGCAGAAGCTTCTGTACTATAGTTGTGTCACTAGCAGAAGCTTCTGTACTATAGTTGTGTCACTAGCAGAAGCTTCTGTACTATAGTTGTGTCAATAGCAGAAGCTTCTGTACTATAGTTGTGTCACTAGCAGAAGCTTCTGTACTATAGTTGTGTCACTAGCAGAAGCCTCTGTACTATAGTTGTATCAATAGCAGAAGCTTCTGTACTATAGTTGTGTCAATAGCAGAAGCTTCTGTACTATAGTTGTGTCAATAGCAGAAGCTTCTGTACTATAGTTGTGTCACTAGCAGAAGCTTCTGTACTATAGTTGTGTCACTAGCAGAAGCTTCTGTACCATAGTTGTGTCACTAGCAGAAGCTTCTGTACTATAGTTGTGTCAATAGCAGAAGCTTCTGTACTATAGTTGTGTCACTAGCAGAAGCTTCTGTACTATAGTTGTGTCACTAGCAGAAGCCTCTGTACTATAGTTGTGTCAATAGCAGAAGCTTCTGTACTATAGTTGTGTCACTAGCAGAAGCTTCTGTACTATAGTTGTGTCAATAGCAGAAGCTTCTGTACTATAGTTGTGTCAATAGCAGAAGCTTCTGTACTATAGTTCTGTCAATAGCAGAAGCTTCTGTACTATAGTTGTTTCACTAGCAGAAGCTTCTGTACTATAGTTGTGTCACTAGCAGAAGCTTCTGTACTAGAGTTGTGTCAATAGCAGAAGCTTCTGTACTATAGTTGTGTCACTAGCAGAAGCTTCTGTACTATAGTTGTGTCACTAGCAGAAGCCTCTGTACTATAGTTGTGTCACTAGCAGAAGCTTCTGTACTATAGTTGTGTCAATAGCAGAAGCTTCTGTACTATAGTTGTGTCACTAGCAGAAGCTTCTGTACTATAGTTGTGTCACTAGCAGAAGCCTCTGTACTATAGTTGTATCAATAGCAGAAGCTTCTGTACTATAGTTGTGTCAATAGCAGAAGCTTCTGTACTATAGTTGTGTCACTAGTTGAAGATGTTCTGGTGAAGGCGTACATGCGGTCAACTCATCTGTTACCTCCACTATCAACTGTGTCTTTGTGTCATCGGTCGCTTCACTGAGGATAACAAACAATACCGCTTTCATGTTGCACAAACTAACGATGTCTTCCAAAAGATATCTTGCCAATGATGTATATTTTCACACTCTACGACTTTGGATATTTCTAGGATTATAACAAGACGTGTCACCTTTGTGACGATTTGACCTCATCTTTTGGATGCGATATTCCAGCAATATCACTGCGGGGAGCACCAGAAATCATCGTATTAGTATAACTGAGAAGTAGAATTTGTTCATGTTAACAAGTGCATGCTTGGGACACACCACAACACTAAGTTAGGTTAGGGTTTACATAAAGCGTCATCAGAAGAAGTCAAGTCCCACCTGCCCCACACAAGTTCGAAAGAACAAATCCTCGGATTGTTACAGTATGTTCTACAAGAGTGATCTTTCCAACTTGATATGAATATTCCTGTCTAATCTGTCTCTCTGTATACAAGAGTAGTTATTGAGCTGTCAAAACAATACCATGGAATTGGGATTTGGAACTTTGTGTTTGTATTTTATGTCCTTTTTGCAAAGCTATGAGTTAGTTGTCACACAACTGGTACTCGGCTTATTCTGTAATCTTTTGCATCACCAACTGTAGTTATCAATCTTTACTGAAGCTCACTTTTCACATTAAACTCATGAAATCTTATACATTGCAGCTTAATGCAAATATATACATCGTTACACTAAACATTTCCCATCTGTTACATTGGATACATTCACTAGAGAATAGCTATCCAGACAACCCTGTGGTCTGCTCAAAGTCAAACTCAAACTTGCTGCCGTGGAAACGAAAGAGAAAATTCTAAAAACCCTTAAATAGCAAAAGGCGCCAGTTGACGACCTTGCCTTTGTGTGTGCAAAGTTTCATGAAATAATTACCTCTTACGTTTAGAGATATTATCCAGACCAAAAATGATTACAGACGAACAGACAAGCTTATTACTGTATCCCCCATATTAAATAATGGGGATGGAATGGTGGGATAAAAGGAGAGATGGTTGTTTGTGCACACTGCTAGTGGGTGCTCTCCCCACACAACTGCATGTTACAGTCTAGGACTGACATACGCTTACACCGGCTCTCACGAGGAATTGGTAGTTGCATCAGCTGTATAGTGTGGAAGGTCATCAAGTGAACTCCAATTCTGCTTGTTGATATCAGAGGCAAGATGGCGCTATGTTAAGAAACACTGATCCGTGGCATTCCTCACACCCTCCCCCTCAGGCAAATGCTCTGATGGGGATACATCTTTCCCCTGGCTAGAACACACATGCTGGCCACGGACGACTGTTCAAAAAGGGAGAGAAGACAGGTATATTCTTAGAACTCCGGACGGCTGTCCAAGAAGGGAGTGAGAGAAGTCAGGTATATTCTTAGAACTCCGGACGGCTGTCCAAGTAGGGAGTGAGAGAAGTCAGGTATATTCTTAGAACTCCGGAAGGCTGTCCAAGTAGGGAGTGAGAGAAGTCAGGTATATTCTTAGAACTCCGGACGGCTGTCCAAGTAGGGAGTGAGAGAAGTCAGGTATAATCTATAATATATGAGCGGACGTTTCAAGATCCAGACCAGGTGAATGAGTGACTTGAGTTCAGTAGTTGGCTGATGTGTGAATTTCTAGCTTTCATATCAACGTTACAGTCAACTTACAGTGTCCCCATGACAACCCATAAACGCCATCTACACATACATGTCGTCGAATTCCAAGCAACGACCACAAGTTTCTGGCTTGCTTTTGAGAGAGGATCAGGTATACATTCAGGAGATAGACAGGAGTGACATTGGCACATGATCGTCTTGACGTGGAGTTTTAATGAACACGTGTATCTGCTGCATATGTTGACACATTATCCTCGGACAGGGTGGACACAGGACTCGTACACGGCTTGTGATGCTTTAACAGTTTATTGCATATGTCAATGATAAAGACGGATCACAGAAAGCCTTGATGTTGTAATACAGTGAGTGTGGACAGGCACACTTCTTGACGGAAGATGACGGTGTAAGTGTCGTGTGCGTGTCGGACGCAGTTCAGGACGGAATTCTAGATGACGGTGTAAGTGTTGTGTGTGTGTCGGACACAGTTCAGGGCGAAATTCTAGATGACGGTGTAAGTGACGTGTGTGTGTCGGACACAGTTCAGGGCAGAATTCTAGATGAAGGTGTAAGTGTCATGTGTGTGTCGGACATAGTTCAGGACGGAATTCTGGATGACGGTGTAAGTGTCGTGTGTGTGTCGGACACAGTTCAGGGCGGAATTCTAGATGACGGTGTAAGTGTTGTGTGCGTGTCGGACACAGTTCAGGACGGAATTCTAGATGACGGTGTAAGTGTCGTGTGTGTGTCGGACATAGTTCAGGACGGAATTCTGGATGACGGTGTAAGTGTCGTGTGCGTGTCGGACACAGTTCAGGACGGAATTCTAGATGACGGTGTAAGTGTCGTGTGTGTGTCGGACACAGTTCAGGACGGAATTCTGGATGACGGTGTAAGTGTCGTGTGTGTGTCGGACACAGTTCAGGACGGAATTCTGGATGACGGTGTAAGTGTCGTGTGCGTGTCGGACACAGTTCAGGACGGAATTCTAGATGACGGTGTAAGTGTCGTGTGTATGTCGGACACATTTGTTAAATTTTAGATGACAGTGGAAGTGTTGTGTGTGTGTCGGAGACAGTTGAGAACGGAGTTCTAGATGACGGTGTAAGTGTCATGTGTGTGTCGGACGCAGTTGAGAACAGAATTCTAGATGACGGTGTAAGTGTCGTGTGCGTGTCGGACTCAGTTGAGAATGGAATTCTAGATGACGGTGTAAGTGACGTGTGTGTGTCGGACACAGTTCAGGGCGGAATTCTAGATGACGGTGTAAGTGTCATGCGTGTGTCGGACATAGTTCAGGACGGAATTCTGGATGACGGTGTAAGTGTCGTGTGTGTGTCGGACACAGTTCAGGGCGGAATTCTAGATGACGGTGTAAGTGTTGTGTGCGTGTCGGACACAGTTCAGGACGGAATTCTAGATGACGGTGTAAGTGTCGTGTGTGTGTCGGACACAGTTCAGGACGGAATTCTGGATGACGGTGTAAGTGTCGTGTGTGTGTCGGACACAGTTCAGGACGGAATTCTGGATGACGGTGTAAGTGTCGTGTGCGTGTCGGACACAGTTCAGGACGGAATTCTAGATGACGGTGTAAGTGTCGTGTGTATGTCGGACACATTTGTTAAATTTTAGATGACGGTGGAAGTGTTGTGTGTGTGTCGGAGACAGTTGAGAACGGAGTTCTAGATGACGGTGTAAGTGTCGTGTGCGTGTCGGACTCAGTTGAGAATGGAATTCTAGATGACGGTGTAAGTGTCTTGTGTGTGTCGGACGCAGTTGAGAACGGAATTCTAGATGACGGTGCAAGTGTTGTGTGCGTGTCGGACACAGTTGAAAACGGAATTCTAGATGACGGTGTAAGTGTTGTGTGTGTGTCGGACACAGTTGAGAACGGAATTCTAGATGACGGTGTAAGTGTCTTGTGTGTGTCGGACACAGTTGAGAACGGAATTCTAGATGACGGTGTAAGTGTTGTGTGTGTGTCGGACACAGTTGAGAACGGAATTCTAGATGACGATGTAAGTGTCGTGTGTGTGTCGGACGCAGTTAAGAATGGAATTCTAGATGACAGTGTAAGTGTCGTGTGTGTGTCGGACGCAGTTGAGAACGGAGTCTAGATGACGGTGTAAGTGTCGTGTGTGTGTCGGACGCAGTTGAGAACGGAATTCTAGATGACGGTGTAAGTGTCATGTGTGTGTGGGACGCAGTTGAGAACGGAATTCTAGATGACGATGTAAGTGTCTTGTGTGTGTCGGACACACTTGAGAACGCAATTCTAGATGACGGTGTAAGTGTCGTGTGTGTGTCGGACACACTTCAGGACGGAAGATGATGGTGTGAGTGTCGTGTGTGTGTCGGACGCAGTTGAGAACGGAATTCTAGATGATGGTGTAAGTCTTGTGTGTGTGTTAGACACAGTTGAGAACGGAATTCTAGATGATGGTGTAAGTGTCTTGTGTGTGTCGGACGCAGTTGAGAACGGAATTCTAGATGACGGTGTAAGTGTTGTGTGTGTGTCGGACGCAGTTGAGAACGGAATTCTAGATGACGATGTAAGTGTCGTGTGTGTGTCGGATGCAGTTAAGAACTGAATTCTAGATGACGGTGTAAGTGTTGTGTGTGTGTCGGACGCAGTTAAGAACGGAATTCTAGATGACGGTGTAAGTGTCGTGTGCATGTCGGTCACAGTTCAGGACGGAATTTTAGATGACGGTGTAAGTGTCGTGTGTGTGTCGGACGCAGTTGAGAAAGGAATTCTAGATGACGGTGTAAGTGTCATGTGTGTGTCGGACACAGTTCAGGACGGAATTGTAGATGCGATGTAAGTGTCGTGTGTGTGTCGGACACAGTGGAGAACGGAATTCTAGATGACGGTTTAAGTGTCGTGTGTGTGTCGGACGCAGTTGAGAACGGAATTCTAGATGACGGTGTAAGTGTTGTGTGTGTGTCGGACGCAGTTGAGAACGGAATTCTAGATGACGGTTTAAGTGTCGTGTGTGTGTTGGACGCAGTTGAGAACGGAATTCTAGATGACGGTGTAAGTGTTGTGTGTGTGTCGGACACAGTTAAGAATGGAATTCTAGATGACGGTGTAAGTGTTGTGTGTGTGTCGGACACAGTTCAGGGCGGAAATCTAGACGACGGTGTAAGTGTCATGTGTGTGTCGGACACAGTTTAGGACGGAATTCTAGATGAAGGTATAAGTGTTGTGTGTGTGTGTCGGACACAGTTCAGGGCGGAATTCTAGATGACGGTGTAAGTGTCTTGTGTGTGTGTCGGACACAGTTCAGGGCGGAATTCTAGATGACGGTGTAAGTGTCGTGTGTGTGTCGGACACAGTATAGGACGGAATTCTAGATGACGGTGTAAGTGTTGTGTGTGTGTCGGACATAGTTTAGGACGGAATTTTAGATGACGATGTAAGTGTTGTGTGTGTGTCGGACATAGTTTAGGACGGAATTCTAGATGACGGTGTAAGTGTTGTGTGTGTGTCGGACATAGTTTAGGACGGAATTCTAGATGACGATGTAAGTGTTGTGTGTGTGTCGGACGCAGTTCAGGACGGAATTCTAGATGACGGTGTAAGTGTTGTGTGTGTGTCGGACATAGTTTAGGATGGAATTCTAGATGACGGTGTAAGTGTTGTGTGTGTGTCTGACATAGTTTAGGACGGAATTCTAGATGACGGTGTAAGTGTTGTGTGTGTGTCGGACACAGTTCAGGACGGAATTCTAGATGACGGTGTAAGTGTCGTGTGTGTGTCGGACACAGTTCAGGACGGAATTCTAGATGACGATGTAAGTGTTGTGTGTGTGTCGGACATAGTTTAGGATGGAATTCTAGATGACGGTGTAAGTGTTGTGTGTGTGTCTGACATAGTTTAGGACGGAATTCTAGATGACGGTGTAAGTGTTGTGTGTGTGTCGGACACAGTTCAGGACGGAATTCTAGATGACGATGTAAGTGTTGTGTGTGTGTCGGACACAGTTCAGGACGGAATTCTAGATGACGGTGTAAGTGTTGTGTGTGTGTCGGACACAGTTCAGGACGGAATTCTAGATGACGGTGTAAGTGTTGTGTGTGTGTCGGACACAGTTCAGGACGGAATTCTAGATGACGGTGTAAGTGTTGTGTGTGTGTCGGACACAGTTCAGGACGGAATTCTAGATGACGATGTAAGTGTTGTGTGTGTGTCGGACATAGTTTAGGACGGAATTCTAGATGACGGTGTAAGTGTCTTGTGTGTGTGTCGGACACAGTTCAGGACGGAATTCTAGATGACGGTGTAAGTGTCGTGTGTGTGTCGGACACAGTTCAGGGCGGAATTCTAGATGAAGGTGTAAGTGTCGTGTGTGTGTCGGACACAGTTCAGGGCGGAATTCTAGATGACGATGTAAGTGTTGTGTGTTTGTCGGACACACTTCAGGGCGGGTGTCTTGGTGTATCGGGGATATAGTCGACGTGTACATGTGTGTATGTTTACACCAATGGTTGTTTTGTCGGAATGAGTCTTCGATTTAAGCGTTGGTGTTTCATCAGGAACGGTAATATAATCTTATGTAATAAACTTTAGACATTCATGTCAATGTTCCAGCTTGTATCAGTGCCCGTCAGTTTATAATACGTATAGACACACCACCGTAATCCTGTAACACTACGACTACACAAAGACAGTATTCATACAGCTGGATAACACGAATATTACGTCTCCGATCCATGCAAATAAAGTTATATTCAAAGGAAATACTGATATATGATATGTTGGTAATATAAATACAGGCAGGATCAGAGAGTAACCCTGACTACACATCTACAATCAATCAATGCCACCAATAGCATTTCACATTAGCAGTCACCAACACAATGGATTTTGAGTAGCATTAGGTATGTTGCTAATAATTTAGTCCTACAAAAGTTTCGTACAGCGTTCGTCCCTGTTACTCTGTACAGTGTGGTGGCTGTACGCAACATCCTGACTGTCTTTACGCTTAATGTTTGGAATAATTGGCGGGCTCGTTTTGTATGTAAATTGACATAATATACTCCGTGTTATGCAACTGCATGTGCATTCGGAGACACATCCATCCATTTGGATTTAATGCTTTTATAAATAATTGGTGGTATTAATGTGTTAGAGCCACATTTACGAAAGAGTGATACTGAACACACAAAAAAAGGGATCATATATATTTTGGGTGATACTGTTTGTTCCGTAAATGTGTGCTGACCCTAAGTTTTGGCTCAGAATATACTGAAGGGCGTATATCACAAGGTCGTTATTGCGGGACAGGTTAGTGGGAATAACCTAAACAGTTACAAGGCACCTGGACATAGAATATTGCTTCATTCGTCAATATCAACCTGTAATCTCTACTTTATAATGTTGTACACTACATCAATGACGTTAGATAATACCAGGCTTCATACAGGAGGTTGACTGTCTGAACGTGGAGCTACGTCGGTACGGGGTAAATGTATGTACTGAAAGTGCTGACCACCAGGTGTCCTAAACAGGATCCGGTGTCCTAAACAGGATCCGGTGATTCTGTTGACATACAGTCTGTGGAACTATAAGCAAAATATAAATAAGAGTATATGTGTAGCTTGTCACAATGGTGTCAATTATATCATCTTCCAGTCCCGCATGAATAAATGGTGCTGTGATTGGTTCTTCCGAGTGCGTGGGCGTTGTTATGTATGACGTCACGGAGCCGACCAATCAGCGGCTTCCAATCTGTTGTTCCCGGTACTCCCTCTGGCGGGTGCGGATCTGTTCTGACAGGTCCTCCCTTCCGCTCTTGATCAACGCCGTTGACAATATGGCCACCTGTTGAGGGTTACAGTGTGAGTTCGTGATATTGTGTCAAAACGACCGGAGGTAATTGAGTGTTGTTCAAGAAGCTTATGTCTGAATACAGGAACAACTGTTCACGCTACCGTGACACTGTCACGTAATCAGTCACGTCCTACACAGGGGTCAAGGTTCAAGGTCCACGTTATTGTGACACTGTCATGCAATCAGTCACGTCCTACACACGGATCAAGGTCTACGTTATTGTGACACTGTCACGTAGTCAGTCACGTCCTACACACGGATCAAGGTCCACGTTATTGTGACACTGTCACGTAATCAGTCACGTCCTACACAGGGGTCAAGGTTCAAGGTCTACGTTATTGTGACACTGTCATGCAATCAGTCACGTCATACACACGGATCAAGGTCTACGTTACCGTGACACTGTCATGCAATCAGTCACGCCCTACACACGGATCAAGGTCCACGTTATTGTGACACTGTCATGCAATCAGTCACGTCATACACACGGACCAAGGTCCACGTTATTGTGACACTGTCATGCAATCAGTCACGTCATACACACGGATCAAGGTCCACGTTACCGTGACACTGTCATGCAACCAGTCACGTCCTATACACGGATCAAGGTCCACGTTATTGTGACACTGTCACGTAATCAGTCACGTCCTACACACGGATCAAGGTCCACGTTATTGTGACACTGTCATGCAATCAGTCACGTCATACACACGGATCAAGGTCCACGTTATTGTGACACTGTCACGTAATCGGTCACGTCCTACACAGGGGTCAAGGTTCAAGGTCCACGTTATTGTGACACTGTCACGTAATCGGTCACGTCCTACACAGGGGTCAAAGTTCAAGGTCCACGTTATTGTGACACTGTCATGCAATCAGTCACGTCATACACACGGATCAAGGTCTACGTTACCGTGACACTGTCATGCAATCAGTCACGCCCTACACACGGATCAAGGTCCACGTTATTGTGACACTGTCATGCAATCAGTCACGTCATACACACGGACCAAGGTCCACGTTATTGTGACACTGTCATGCAATCAGTCACGTCATACACACGGATCAAGGTCCACGTTACCGTGACACTGTCATGCAACCAGTCACGTCCTATACACGGATCAAGGTCCACGTTATTGTGACACTGTCACGTAATCAGTCACGTCCTACACACGGATCAAGGTCCACGTTATTGTGACACTGTCATGCAATCAGTCACGTCATACACACGGATCAAGGTCCACGTTATTGTGACACTGTCATGCAATCAGTCACGCCCTACACACGGATCAAGGTCCACGTTATTGTGACACTGTCATACAAGCAGTCACGTCATACACACGGATAAAGGTCCACGTTACCGTGACACTGTCATGCGATCAGTCACGTCATACACACGGATCAAGGTCCACGTTATTGTGACACTGTCATGCGATCAGTCACGTCATACACACGGACCAACGTCCACGTTATTGTGACACTGTCATGCAATCAGTCACGTCATACACACGGATCAAGGTCCACGTTATTGTGACACTGTCATGCAATCAGTCACGTCACACAGCCGGACCAAGGTCCACGTTACCGTGACACTGTCATGCAATCAGTCACGTCATACACACGGATCAAGGTCCACGTTATTGTGACACTGTCATGCGATCAGTCACGCCCTACACACGGATCAAGGTCTACGTTATTGTAACACTGTCATGCAATCAGTCACGTTATACACACGGACCAAGGTCTACGTTACCGTGACACTGTCATGCAATCTGTCACGTCATACACACGGATCAAGGTCTACGTTACCGTGACACTGTCATGCAATCAGTCACGTCATACACACGGATCAAGGTCTAGGTTATTGTGACACTGTCACGTAGTCAGTCACGTCACACAGCCGGACCAAGGTCCACGTTACCGTGACACTGTCATGCAATCAGTCACGTCATACACACGGACCAAGGTCTACGTTACCGTGACACTGTCATGCAATCAGTCACGTCATACACACGGATCAAGGTCCACGTTACCGTGACACTGTCATGCAATCAGTCACGTCATACACACGGGACAAGGTCTACGTTATTGTGACACTGTCATGCGATCAGTCACGTCATACAGCTGGACCAAGGTCCACGTTATTGTGACACTGTCGGGCAATCAGTCACGTCACACAGCCGGATCAAGGTCTACGTTATTGTGACACTGTCATGCGATCAGTCACGTCACACAGCCGGACCAAGGTCCACGTTATTGTGACACTGTAATGCAATCAGTCACGTCATACAGCCGCACCAAGGTCTAGGTTATTTTGACACTGTCATGCAATCAGTCACGTCATACACACGGACCAAGGTCCACGTTATTATGACACTGTCATGCAATCAGTCACGTCATACACACGGATCAAGGTCCACGTTATTGTGACACTGTCATGCAATCAGTCACATCATACACACGGATCAAGGTCCACGTTATTGTGACACTGTCATGCAATCAGTCACGTCATACACACGGATCAAGGTCTACGTTATTGTAACACTGTCATGCAATCAGTCACGTCATACACACGGATCAAGGTCCACGTTATTGTGACACTGTCATGCAATCAGTCACGTCATACACACGGATCAAGGTCTACGTTACCGTGACACTGTCATGCAATCAGTCACGTCCTACACACGGATCAAGGTCCACGTTACCGTGACACTGTCATGCAATCAGTCACGTCATACACACGGATCAAGGTCTACGTTACCGTGACACTGTCATGCAATCAGTCACGTCGTACAGCCGGACCAAGGTCTAGGTTATTGTGACACTGTCATGCGATCAGTCACGTCACACAGCCGGACCAAGGTCAACGTTACCGTGACACTGTCATGCAATCAGTCACGTCACACAGCCGGACCAAGGTCCACGTTATTGTGACACTGTCATGCAATCAGTCACGTCACACAGCCGGACCAAGGTCCACGTTACCGTGACACTTCCATGCAATCAGTCACGTCACACAGCCGGACCAAGGTCCACGTTATTGTGACACTGTAATGCAATCAGTCACGTCACACAGCCGGACCAAGGTCCACGTTACCGTGACACTGTCATGCAATCAGTCACGTCACACAGCCGGACCAAGGTCTACGTTATTGTGACACTGTCATGCAATCAGTCACGTCACACAGCCGGACCAAGGTCCACGTTACCGTGACACTTCCATGCAATCAGTCACGTCACACAGCCGGACCAAGGTCCACGTTATTGTGACACTGTCATGCAATCAGTCACGTCACACAGCCGGACCAAGGTCCACGTTACCGTGACACTGTCATGCAATCAGTCACGTCACACAGACGGACCAAGGTCCACGTTATTGTGACACTGTCATGCAATCAGTCACGTCACACAGCCGGACCAAGGTCCACATTACCGTGACACTTCCATGCAATCAGTCACGTCACACAGCCGGACCAAGGTCTACGTTATTGTGACACTGTCATGCAATGAGTCACGTCACACAGCCGGACCAAGGTCCACGTTACCGTGACACTGTCATGCAATCAGTCACGTCATACAGCCGGACCAGGGTCCCCGTTACCGTGACACTGCAATGCAATCAGTCAAGTCACATAGCCGGACCAAGGTCCACGTTACCGTGACACTGTCATGCAATCAGTCACGTCACACAGCCGGACCAAGGTCTAGGTTATTGTGACACTGTCATGCGATCAGTCACGTCACACAGCCGGACCAAGGTCTACGTTAATGTGACACTGTCATGCGATCAGTCACGTCACACAGCCGGATCAAGGTCCACGTTACCGTGACACTGTCATGCAATCAGTCACGTCACACAGCCGGACCAAGGTCAACGTTACCGTGACACTGTCATGCAATCAGTCACGTCACACAGCCGGACCAAGGTCAACGTTACCGTGACACTGTCATGCAATCAGTCACGTCACACAGCCGGACCAAGGTCTACGTTACCGTGACACTGCCATGCAATCAGTCACGTCGTACAGCCGGACCAAGGTCTAGGTTATTGTGACACTGTCATGCGATCAGTCACGTCACACAGCCGGACCAAGGTCAACGTTACCGTGACATTGTCATGCAATCAGTCACGTCACACAGCCGGACCAAGGTCTACGTTACCGTGACACTGCCATGCAATCAGTCACGTCACACAGCCGGACCAAGGTCTAGGTTATTGTGACACTGTCATGCGATCAGTCACGTCACACAGCCGGACCAAGGTCTACGTTAATGTGACACTGTCATGCGATCAGTCACGTCACACAGCCGGACCAAGGTCCACGTTACCGTGACACTGTCATGCGATCAGTCACGTCACACAGCCGGACCAAGGTCCACGTTATTGTGACACTGTCATGCAATCAGTCACGTCACACAGCCGGTCCAAGGTCCACGTTACCGTGACACTGTCATGCAATCAGTCACGTCACACAGCCGGACCAAGGTCCACGTTACCCTCACACCACGTTATGCAATCTGTCACGTAATACATTTAAATATTCATACATAGTTTGGCTCTCCTAGAAGTGACACACTATGCTATGTATACACTATTGCCCAAAGCGGTGTTCAACTCAACTCCCCATCGCCTCTAACATCGTTTACTTAATTTATCTCCTGACCACAAATCCGATTTAGCTCACCTTGTCACTCGACTTTGGCGCTCTCTTCAGCCACGTCATCAGCATGTCGAACTTGGCGTCCGCGTCCGACCTCTCCCCGAGCTGCATGTGGCGCAGTATTGCCTGGATCCGCACGCGCTGCACGTTCAGATAGTGCGCCACCTTCCGCCACTCCTCGCCCAACTCTGCCGCCAGGCTGTGCATGTAGTCCTCGTTCACTGGGTCACGTGTGTTGTGGATTGTGATTGGAGCTTTGACTGGCACTGGACACGGCTCAATGTGGTACTGAAACGTTACAGTTGAGTTTAGTTGATGTCATTACCATGGTGTTTTACGGAACTCGTCACGTGTTCGTGCTCCTGTACAAATCAATGGTCACGGAGAAATGTCGGGGGCACGGGTGGCCCAGTCGTCCCAGGCACCGCAATTCGCTGTGCAGAATGTTTTCCCTTTGGCACGTCAGAATCCCATGATAGTGGGTTCGAATCCCGGTTCGACGCGATTATGTTTCTAGGTTTGTCAGCACCACACCCGTGCTCGTGGGTTTCACTTAACTGTCTAAGGCCTTCCTCCTACATTAAGCTGACGCGCTGAGATAAAACGGAAATAGTGTTCTAAGCGGCGCTAAACCCACCTCACTCCCTACTGAAAATTGTCAGTATTTTGTAAGAACTCGTAATATATTGATGAAAGGACAAAAGTGACAATACGAATAAAGTAAAGTGCTTATTTCCTAATACCATTTGAATGTTGAAGTTTGAGTGAGGTGATGTTTCGAGGTAATGTGAGTAACTTAAGTTACACACCGCTTGAGAAATAATATACTACTTTAAATAGTATTTAATTTCTATCACGTCAGCTTGATGTGGGAGTAAAGGGCAAAGTGATGTAGTTCAGTGGCTTGTACCGTGGCAAACACGCGTGTATGGTGGTGAGGGAACATGTACATTGGGACTATGGCATTTGAAACACGATCAGCGGATCCAGGCATGGCTAAGGGAGGTAACTGTACAGTGCCACTGACGCTGGTGCCTTATCTGGCTATCTCTTATTAACCAATCTATTTACCAAAAATATTCAAATTAATAACCTGATCTTCGTCTGAGGCATCCAAAAAAAAGCTGTGCAGAGTTACGTCCCTTGGACACGCGAACACCAATGATTGTGGGTTTGTCTCCCGGTAAGGTGAGATGGAATTGGGTTTAACGTCGCGTCCAAGATTATTGCACTTATATGGCGACGTGCATGCACGTGTGTGTGTTTGTGTGGCTGCTTGTACTAGTCCGGACCGATGCCGATTTATAGTGCTAGCTCACTGAGATACCATGCCACAGTTTAACATGAATACCCCACTAATGGTTCCGAGTCGACCAGTCCTTGTTTTAGCCCCTTAATCCCGAGCACCAGACAGGGTAACAACAAGTACCATCTTTTAACGTCTTTTGGTATGACGCGGCCTGGGATCGAACCCCGGACCTTCTGCTCTCCGGGCGGACGCTCTACCACTAGACCACGGAGGCGGTCTTTCTCCGGGTAAGCCACAGTAATGTTTCATACCAGTTATTTGTGTTTTTACTTAAGTGGCAAAAGATGTGAAATACTGGAATACTGTTAAAAGGGGCGTGAATTCTATCTCACTCACTCAGTCATCGTGACATTTTGGATAATTAATGAAAGTATATATCCTATTGCACATTCCTTTCTTACACTTCACAATCACTTCACAAAATGTTCACCTTCGGAATGCTTATCAGCAGCTCGCACAGCAGATCCCTCTTCACTTCCGGTCCCTGTTTCGCTTCGTCGTCAGAAACCTTCCGCGTGATGGACCGGACTTCCGCCGGAACAACCGTGTACTTCCGGTACACCTGCACTACGCCCCTATACACGGGGAAGTTCTTCTGAAGGTACTTGTCCACCTCCGTCAGTGTGAACTGCACGTGTGACGACACATTGGAGTTAAACTGGACCTCGAGAGGTCGGTCGTCGCTGGAGGTGATGTTGCCGCGAAATGTGACCTCGACGGTGTCGCCCTCAGAGATGCTGAGGACTTGGCTGGCACTCGGTCCCTCCCCGAACCCCTCGTCGCCCAGCTTGGTCAACAGTTTGTCCACTTTATTGACAGGGGTCACGTGCAGCACGGCGTCAAAGGCGTCCTCTGATCTGCAGGCGAAAATTCATATTTGAATCACACGTAACATTACAAAACATCTGACTTTATACAACAGACGAAATGACGTCTGACCAGGTCTTCTGATCTCTGCATTGCCTGCAATGTGGAAGGTGTGTGACATTCACACTTCAGAAATAGAAGGAAGGGATACAGGATCATAAAGGAACATGATATACGGGAGACATACAACCTCGACCATATTAGCTTGACAAAGATAGATATTAAACCACAAGCCATAAGCTGGAACAGGCGTAGTGTAGCCTAATGGTTAAAGCGTTCGCTGTCACGCCGTAAACATGGGTTCGATTCCCAACATTGGTATTATGTGTGAAACCCATTTCTTTTCTTAAACAGCATGATAATACTGAAATATTGTTAAAGCGGCGTAAAACCATACTTTCTCACTCAGTCATAAGCTGGAATGAATACTATACCACTCAGATTAAGTTAAATAACACCCAAATTGCACATTTGACCATAGTTAATCTATCATGCCATAGTAACATGCCCTAGTTCTTTAATATATTTTTGAAGTACATATCGTTTGCAAGAACGTCTGAATTCGGTGTTTATTAAGGGACGCACTAATCGGTATTGAGACGAGGGTCTGGGCGATGGCGGAGGTGCTTAGGCTGGCTAGGAAGTTTGTTCAGAGCCAGGTATTTTTTTACCGGTTTTACTGATTAAAAAAAAGCGTCTAAACTTTTTAGGAAGGATGAGCCTATGTTGTTTACAAGACCCAGGATGTCCAGTTAAAAAAATATTTTGGTGGTAGAGTCTGAGGACAAAACAAAACTGTTTCAAAACAATCCCAGACCCTCCTCCTCCCCATTCACACATCCCCTCCCTCCCAGTCCCCCTCTTGTCGGGGGGTGTTTAAGCGAGATCACGCCAGACAATACCTTTGTTTCATCACGATCTGGACATATCTCTTCCTCCCCATTCACACATCCCCTCCCTCCCAGTCCCCCTCTTGTCGGGCGGTGTTTAAGCGAGATCACGCCAGACAATACCTTTGTTTCATCACGATCTGGACATATCTCTTTGAGAGATAGTCGTGGAGTCCTGTTTCTATGGAAACAGCCATCTCATCCACAATATTGGCTCTGGTCCGGATCACCATGAACCTTTAAACAGGAGAAAATAAATGTCACAAATATTATCCGATATCCATACAATGAGCTCGCGTTGTACTAGTGAGTGAGTGAGTGAGTTGGGTTTAACGCCGCTTTTAACATTATTCCAGTCATATCACGGCGTGTCAGCTTAATGTGGGAGGAAAGCCCGAAGTGTTGCAGGCCTTAGACGTTTACCACTTCGGTGAAACCCACGAGCACGGGCATGGTGCTGACAAACTTAGAAACATAATCGGGGCGAACCGGGATTCGAACCCACAATCATAGGTTTCTGGCGTGCCCAAGGGACGCAACTCTGCACAGCGAATCGCGGCGCCTTAGACGACTTGGCCATCCGTGCCCTCCGTGCTGACCCTCTATGACCTGCATCAATGTGAGTGCTGACCCTCTATGACCTGCATCAATGTGAGTGCCGACCCTCTATGACCTGCATCAATGTGAGTGCCGACCCTCTATGACCTGCATCAATGTGAGTGCTGACCCTCTATGACCTGCATCAATGTGAGTGCTGACCCTCTATGACCTGCATCAATGTGAGTGCTGACCCTCTATGAACAACAGTCACATCCATGTCGGATACAACAGTCAATATCTCACATTACAGCCACATACAACAGTCACATCTGTACACAATACAACAGTCACATCCATGTCGGATACAACAGTCAATATCTCACATTACAGCCACATACAACAGTGACATCTGTACACAATACAACAGTCACATCCATGTCGGATACAACGGTCAATATCTCACATTACAGCCACGTACAACAGTGACATCTGTACACAATACAACAGTCACATCCATGTCGGATACAACAGTCAATATCTCACATTACAGCCACATACAACAGTGACATCTGTACACAATACAACAGTCACATCCATGTCGGATACAACAGTCAATATCTCACATTACAGCCACATACAACAGTGACATCTGTACACAATACAACAGTCACATCCATGTCGGATACAACAGTCAATATCTCACATTACAGCCACATACAACAGTCACATATGTACACAATACAACAGTCACATCCATGTCAGATACAACAGTCACATCCATGTCGGATACAACAGTCAATATCTCACATTACAGCCACATACAACAGTGACATCTGTACACAATATAACAGTCACATCCATGTCGGATACAACAGTCAATATCTCACATTACAGCCACATACAACAGTCACATCTGTACACAATACAACAGTCACATCCATGTCGGATACAACAGTCAATATCTCACATTACAGCCACATACAACAGTCACATATGTACACAATACAACAGTCACATCCATGTCGGATACAACAGTCAATATCTCACATTACAGCCACATACAACAGCCACATCTGTACACAATACAACAGTCACATCCGTGTCGGATACAACAGTCAATATCTCACATTACAGCCACATACAACAGTCACATCTGTACACAATAGAACAGTCACATCCATGTCGGATACAACAGTCAATATCTCACATTACAGCCACATACAACAGACACATCTGTACACAATACAACAGTCACATCCATGTCGGATACAACAGTCAATATCTCACATTACAGCCACATACAACAGACACATCTGTACACAGTACAACAGTCACATCCATGTCGGATACAACAGTCAATATCTCACATTACAGCCACATACAACAGACACATCTGTACACAATACAACAGTCACATCCATGTCGGATACAACAGTCAATATCTCACATTACAGCCACATACAACAGACACATCTGTACACAATACAACAGTCACATCCATGTCGGATACAACAGTCAATATCTCACATTACAGCCACATACAACAGACACATCTGTACACAATACAACAGTCACATCCATGTCGGATACAACAGTCAATATCTCACATTACAGCCACATACAACAGTCACATATGTACACAATACAACAGTCACATCCATGTCGGATACAACAGTCAATATCTCACATTACAGCCACATACAACAGACACATCTGTACACAATACAACAGTCACATCCATGTCGGATACAACAGTCAATATCTCACATTACAGCCACATACAACAGACACATCTGTACACAATACAACAGTCACATCCATGTCGGATACAACAGTCAATATCTCACATTACAGCCACATACAACAGTCACATATGTACACAATACAACAGTCACATCCATGTTGGATACAACAGTCAATATCTCACATTACAGCCACATACAACAGTGACATCTGTACACAATACAACAGTCACATCCATGTCGGATACAACAGTCAATATCTCACATTACAGCCACATACAACAGCCACATCTGTACACAATACAACAGTCACATCCATGTCGGATACAACAGTCAATATCTCACATTACAGCCACGTATAACAGTCACATCTGTACACAATACAACAGTCACATCCATGTCGGATACAACAGTCAATATCTCACATTACAGCTACATACAACAGTCACATCTGTACACAATACAACAGTCACATCCATATCAGATACAACAGTCACATCCATGTCGGATACAACAGTCAATATCTCACATTACAGCTACATACAACAGTCACATCTGTACACAATACAACAGTCACATCCATGTCAGATACAACAGTCACATCCATGTCGGATACAACAGTCAATATCTAACATTACAGCCACATACAACAGACACATCTGTACACAATACAACAGTCACATCCATGTCGGATACAACAGTCAATATCTCACATTACAGCCACATACAACAGACACATCTGTACACAATACAACAGTCACATCCATGTCGGATACAACAGTCAATATCTCACATTACAGCCACATACAACAGTCACATATGTACACAATACAACAGTCACATCCATGTCGGATACAACAGTCAATATCTCACATTACAGCCACATACAACAGTGACATCTGTACACAATACAACAGTCACATCCATGTCGGATACAACAGTCAATATCTCACATTACAGCCACATACAACAGTGACATCTGTACACAATACAACAGTCACATCCATGTCGGATACAACAGTCAATATCTCACATTACAGCCACATACAAACGCCACATCTGTACACAATACAACAGTCACATCCATGTCGGATACAACAGTCAATATCTCACATTACAGCCACATACAACAGTCACATCTGTACACAATACAACAGTCACATCCATGTCGGATACAACAGTCAATATCTCACATTACAGCCACGTATAACAGTCACATCTGTACACAATACAACAGTCACATCCATGTCGGATACAACAGTCAATATCTCACATTACAGCCACATACAACAGTCACATATGTACACAATACAACAGTCACATCCATGTCGGATACAACAGTCAATATCTCACATTACAGCCACATATAACAGTCACATCTGTACACAATACAACAGTCACATCCATGTCGGATACAACAATCAATATCTCACACTACAGCCACGTACAACAGTCACATCTGTACACAATACAACAGTCACATCCATGTCGGATACAACAGTCAATATCTCACATTACAGCCACATACAACAGCCACATCTGTACACAATACAACAGTCACATCCATGTCGGATACAACAGTCAATATCTCACATTACAGCCACATACAACAGTCACATATGTACACAATACAACAGTCACATCCATGTCGGATACAACAGTCAATATCTCACATTACAGCCACATACAACAGTGACATCTGTACACAATACAACAGTCATATCCATGTCGGATACAACAGTCAATATCTCACATTACAGCCACATACAACAGCCACATCTGTACACAATACAACAGTCACATCCATGTCGGATACAACAGTCAATATCTCACATTACAGCCACATACAACAGTCACATCTGTACACAATACAACAGTCACATCCATGTCGGATACAACAGTCAATATCTCACATTACAGCCACGTACAACACCCACATCTGTACACAATACAACAGTCACATCCATGTCGGATACAACAGTCAATATCTCACATTACAGCTACATACAACAGTCAAATCTGTACACAATACAACAGTCACATCCATGTCGGATACAACAGTCAATATCTCACATTACAGCCACGTACAACAGTCACATCCATGTCGGATACAACAGTCAATATCTCACATTACAGCCACGTACAACAGTCACATCTGTACACAATACAACAGTCACATCCATGTCGGATACAACAGTCAATATCTCACATTACAGCCACATACAACAGTCACATATGTACACAATACAACAGTCACATCCATGTCGGATACAACAGTCAATATCTCACATTACAGCCACATACAACAGTCACATATGTACACAATACAACAGTCACATCCATGTCGGATACAACAGTCAATATCTCACATTACAGCCACATACAACAGTGACATCTGTACACAATACAACAGTCATATCCATGTCGGATACAACAGTCAATATCTCACATTACAGCCACATACAACAGCCACATCTGTACACAATACAACAGTCACATCCATGTCGGATACAACAGTCAATATCTCACATTACAGCCACATACAACAGTGACATCTGTACACAATACAACAGTCACATCCATGTCGGATACAACAGTCAATATCTCACATTACAGCCACATACAACAGTCACATATGTACACAATACAACAGTCACATCCATGTCGGATACAACAGTCAATATCTCACATTACAGCCACATACAACAGTCACATATGTACACAATACAACAGTCACATCCATGTCGGATACAACAGTCAATATCTCACATTACAGCCACATACAACAGTGACATCTGTACACAATACAACAGTCATATCCATGTCGGATACAACAGTCAATATCTCACATTACAGCCACATACAACAGCCACATCTGTACACAATACAACAGTCACATCCATGTCGGATACAACAGTCAATATCTCACATTACAGCCACATACAACAGTGACAT